TTTGCTTATCTATGCACCATCTTCCCTGATAGAGTCAGAGAGAGTAAGAAAGAGACACAGAGATAGAGAAAGGGAGAGGCAGACAGAGCCAGAGCCAGAGATACAGAGAGAGGGAAGAAGAGAGAGAGAGAGATGAAAACTTCAGCTATTCTTTTCCCCCTCTACTTTATGCTGCCCAGAGTCTCTCTAAAATTTTTGTTGTATTTTCTTTTTAAAATTACTGTAATGTGTGACTTTGTCTTCACCATTGCCATTGCCATTAGCCAATGAACCAAATCAGGCACAGTTCATCTCCTCTAAGCCTCTTCATTTCTTCTTTCAGTGCATAAAAAAGAAGATGGGCATTCAGGAGGCAACCTTGAAGTCCTCACAGGGACCTGGATGTTGGGACAGTTCTTACCTCTTGATCTACTCCATTGTTTCTTTACAATACCAATAAATACACTAGCAATTAAATATTGACTCTTGCTTCTCTTTATGGTGTTTGTGTCATTCAACTTTCAGCATACTGGGTTGTAGATATAGGGAGAGAAGTATGGTCCCCAACTACTTAGTGCTTGGCTGATTCCAGATTATTCTACAGATGCACAGCCCTGACATGGATTTAGTAGTTTAGTCCTGGGTCCCCAAATGGCACCTTACTCAAGGTTGGATGGGGGCCATGCATGTAATGAATATTGTTGAGCCCCTGTAGAGTTCATTTTACTTTAATCTTTCCTTGTAATAAAGTCTAATTTTCTCTCTTTTCCAATATTACTGAATGGAGCTAAAAATCTAAGAGCAAATCTGATGATCCCCCAAATCACTCTCAGTGAGTCAGTGAGCATTTAGTAAGCTCCTACTATATGCCAGACACTGTGGTAAGCCCTTACGTATAGAGAAAGGCAGAAAGCAAAAAAAAAGGGCCAAAACAAAACCAAAAATAAGTTATCTCTGCTCTCAAGGAGCTGACAATCTAGGGGTGGAGATATCATTTGAACAACCACATATGTCAAAAGAATTTGAAATGTAGTTCAGAGTGGACTGGTCTCTGACTTGGAAATAGCCAAAGCTGAACATAATAGAGAAGCAGCAGGTGTATCAGGAATCAAGAAATTGTTTAGTTAATTTCA